CAGAAGGAGGGAGGGTGGGAAGGAGGGGAAAGGGCACAGAGGAAGAGGAGCGTTAATGCTGTACCATCGACGGACCTTGAGGGCACAATGCTAAGTGAAATAGACCAGTCACACTTGATTCCACTGCCTGAGGATCTAAAAAAAGTCGGACCAGTGGAATAAAAATGCGGTTGGCAGGGACATAGTGGGAAGGGCAGCTAGCTACTAATCAAAGGCATAAGCTTTTGGTAAGCCGAGAGGGATAAGTTCTAGAGAGTGGCTGAACACCACTGTCACCATGGTCAACAGTAGTGTGTTATGCGCTTGAACATGTTAAGGGGCTAGAACTCACGATAAAACCTTCCTACCTCAAAAGCATAAGGTAAAATTAAATACAATCACTGCCTGATGTCAGACAAGGCTGGCACTTTTCTCCCACCACTTCGGACGCCAGCATCTCCCTGTGCCTTCTGCGTCTTCTCTGGCAGCAAGGTGTGTGAGGAAGAGTCGGAGGGCAGAATTGGAGGGGAGCCAGTATGTGAACACAGAGGCCGAGGTACATGATGCTAGCCAATAAAAGGACGTAAAAGAGGCAGAAGCTAGTGGTTATTCTTTCAGCACACATCCATTTGTGGGTGAGGGGTACAGATACATGGCCAAGGGGCAAAGAAACAGAAGAACGTAGTGCAGGACAGGACTTAGGAAAGGCTCCGCGCCTCTCCACAGGAGCTTTCATGCCATGGTAGCATCTCAGGCTCCAGGAAACACTGCACTGCCACATCAGCCACTGTTGGCCATTGCCGAGCTTCACATTCATTGCTGTTCCGTGGAAAGCCTTCTCCGCTATGGAGAGGGTCTGCGTCCAGGAGAGCCATTTTGGGTGACCCGAACCACACAGTGTCCTCTCTCTGAGGCAGGCTGTCTGCCCTCGAGCCAGCCCTGCATGCTGGGGTCTTGGGAGATGATGTGAAGTGTTCATGTTTCTACTGCCTCTGGCAGAGGGGGTGTAAGAAGCGGGAAGTGAGGTCCGCTGGCAACATGGAGACCTCCTGGGTGGCTGCATCTCCTTATCTCAAGGCTTTATCTTTGCTTCCCAGCCCCAGCCAGCCACTTCTTCCATTCCTCCAACCATCAATCTAGCATCTGCCTGGGTGACGATACCCACAGGCTAAGTTCAGACATGGTGATGGACAGGTCAGAGCTGAGGACAGGACAGGAAGTGCCTGTTGCTTGGCAGGGAAGTTGTACCAGGGTCGGGTGAAGGGTGCCAGGACATCCAGGAATAGTGCTCAGCTTTGTGTTGGTTCAGGAGCAAGAAGCCCTGGGGTGAGCTTGGGTTGAAAAGGTTAGATCCCTCACAGGGTTCTTCTCACAGGGGTAGTGGTCAGGTTGGGGGCTACCAGATGACCTACATGGACAACTCAAAGTCAGAACCCAAAGAGAAGGTTCGATCTCAAGTCTCCTTCCTGTGAATGAATAAGCACAATAGTTAAAAGAGTACAGACCAATCCAAGTGTGGTGGGCGGAGTGTGCCTATAATAATCAGCACTTAGGAGGCTGAGGCAAGAGGATTGCACAGGTCAGGAATCTGTGGAGTAGGCTCTAGCTCAGGCGATGCTACATTCCTAGTTTCTTTGCTTTTGAAGCAAGAATGGCACAAAGCCTATATAGGAAGTTAGAGTGGGAGGGCATTGCAGGAACAGCACTGGGATCCTGACTGTAAATACACCTAGACCCAAGGGGATGAGCGATCAGTTACGAGGGTGAGAGAGGATGCAGGAGAGTCTGCTCCCAGGAGAGGAACAGTCCTTCTGTCCAGGGACACAGCCACCCTGAGAGCGGGGCTGGGGCGTGGATACTGGATGTCCCTCTCTTTCACCACCTCTGCTGTGATCCCCTGGCTGGCTCCCACGATGTCCAAGACTTCCTATTCACCTATCCACACAGACCAGCCTGCAGGTGCAGAGCAGAGAGATCTAAAGAAGCTGACAGGAGCTGCCTGGGAGACCCGTCTCACAGTGTGACCGTGCTGTGTGCTAATGCAAGACAGCTCTCAGTGGGGCTCCTGACCCAGTGCGTGGCTAACTTAGAGAAGTGATCTAAGTCTAGCAGCGTGTTTGCATACATGTGCCACAGGGAGGTTGGTGGTGAACTAAGTACTAGCAGGAAGTTGAGAAGCCCAGCACGTGTGGTCCTGTGACGGTGGAAGGCTTTGATTGTGAAATGTTGATGTGACTCTGAACCATAAATTTCCAGGCCTAGAAAGCTGAGAATGGCTTTATCATCCCTGAGAACCCATGATGAGACAGGGTTTGTAGATTATGTAATGGGTTTAATATATAAAATGTACCCTACCTCAGGGCCGTTAGTGAAGAATACAGGGATTAGAGAATGACAGTCTCCCTTCTTGTGTGAGCATAAATGGCTCCAAATTTTCATTGCTCCTTTTGTCCCCACAGCACAAATCTACTTGTGAGCTGTTCTGGCCTGGGAGCTGCTCTACATCAGCTCCCTGCTGTCAAATCTACATTCACTCTTCTGATTTATAGTGGCACCTCGGTTCACAAACCTAATTCTTTCCGTGATTCTGCTTATAAACTGAGTTGGATGGAACTGAATCAGATCTCCCCATAATGTCAGCATTAAGCCATTGAATTCAGTTTGGTTCCTGTCTAACTCACTCTGCAACCAGAATCATGGAAAGAAATTAAGTTCATGAACCAAAGTCCCACTGTATCATATCACCATGCTTGCTTTCCAATCCTCTTTGTTGATTTTAACTCAGTCAGGCATCAAGCTAGATCCATTTTCTTTTCTCTGGTCTTTCTACACTCACATGAACACAGTATTCTACATGGTCCCCCAAAAAGAACTAAGTTGAAAAGAAATCGGAATATACATTAACAAAATTGGCATAAGAAGAAGAAATCTTTCTTAGAAATTTTTAAAGATTTGCTTTCCTTGAAAAGAAAGCCAAACCATAAAATGAAATGCCTTTGGTTGTTAATAAACAGAAACCTCATATATCTAAAATTTAGGTTTTTTCCAAGACAAACGAACATTTTGCTCTGTCTGCTTTTCCTAATATGCACATTTCATTTAGCCCAAATCCTCATTATGGGAAAAATTTACATAGCCATCTCCGCCGCCCAGGGTTTCTTTCCTTGGGCAGTGAGGTATGTGCAGTGGTTTCCGAAGCCTTCAGTGTTGTTCATTTCTCCAAAAGCAGCAAACCTTTAAAAATGAGATTTTCCAGGCGCTTAGCCCCTAACACTGCCTGGAGTGGGCATAGATGATTTTAAGTCATATTGGCCAGTTGAGTATCTCAGAACCTTGAAAGATGTCACCTGTCCCCTCCAGAGCCGACTGGTGCTCTTGGCGTTTGCTGCGGGAGCAGCTAAAGCAAGGTGGAACCCAGGTTGTGTTTATCCTGCGTCTCATTTCTTACGTACTGGCAGCCTGGTCCTCCCAACCCCCAAGAGTACTGATATCCGTGAACTTACTCTCGTGGAGCTGGTCACCATGCAGCAGCTGTGCTTAGAACAGCCATGCACAGAGTCGGGAGACAGATGCAGAGTTCCCAACTCCCACCATGACTGCCATTCTCTGGTCCACAAGCCCAGCCTGTGCCACCAGCTTTGCACTTGGCCTTTCAGGATGGAGCACCACCGTCCTCTGCCCTGTGGTCCCTTACAGCTGGGCCTCGGCCCTCCCTGTCCTCCTGGTGCAGACCCAGCAGGAGCCTGCCTCCTCTCCCTGGGTCCCTTCTGTGTACAGGTATTTTCCTCAGTATCTCAGCCTGTCACAGATGGAGAGGCACAGAGCCACTGTGGCTTGACGCCAAAAAGAATATGAGGAATCTGTATTTCAGGCAAGAAATTTGGACCCAAAATTATGTCAGTGGCCAGCTGACAATAAAAGTAGCTTTGGAATTGAGAGCAGAGCTAGCATGAGAAGCTGTGGTGTTTTTAAATTGTAGACAGAATGTGTCTGGGACATGCTAAGCACACACATTACTACTGAGCTGCATCCTTAGCCCCAAAGTCCATGATTTTTTTTTTCCTGGTACTGGGGATTGAATGCAGGGTTTTGCACTGAGCTACCTCCCCAGCCCTTTCGTATTGTTTATTTTGAGGCAGTATCACTCAATCACTTAAGTGGCCTACGTTGGGCTTGAATCTGTGATCCTCCTGCCTCACTCCCAGAGTACTGGGTTACAGTGTGCGTCACCATGGCCAACCAGAACCCACAGTAGCATAGAACAATTATAGTTGATATATCTAATCAAAATGTTTTTCTACTGTATTTGTTAGATGACCTTCCTCCCTCCAGATTGATGAATTGTGTGTTCCAACCTCCTAACAGAATCTTCTAGATAAAGCCAACTGTAGAATGGCTCAGTGGACAAATAGCCAACATTTGGTACCTGGGTATTGTAATTTGTACCACCTCTAGTCAATTCATATGCATAGAAATGGGCAAAACTGAAACCTTCCAGGCACCCCACTTGGGATGTCAGATGGTAACCTTCAGCTCAGGGTGACTCATGGCAACTTGGCATTCTAGTTCATAAAAGTTTCTTCCTTTGATAATTTCTTAAATAAAATGAGGCTGAAGCGCTCCTGAAATGTATACTAAGCATATGTTTTGTTTATACTTTCCACCAACCCATCTATTGGAGATAGCATTACAGCAAGATGGCTAAGATTCGTCTACAGAAGACTGTCAGTGGGCTTCTAGGGTGCGTGGGACTCTGGTTAATACTGTGTAAAGAGTTAAGGTAGACAAGTGTCTGTACAGAGCTCTGTTCATTGCCTGAGTTAACCCTTTTGGCTGGGTATCAAATTGTCACTTTACTTCTGTGTCTCCTGCACCACAGGATGTGTGGACCCTTTGCTAAGCTTGTATTTGTAGCACACCTGTGCAGTTTTCCATATTTTGGTTGACAGTATTTCCAGGCAGCGTGCATACCCACTCCCTGGATATGCAAACTCTCAGCTCTTACCTATCTTGTTTTCCAGGCTCTGTGGCTACCCTCCTTTTTATGATGAAAACGACTCCAAGCTCTTTGAACAGATCCTCAAGGCGGAATATGAATTCGACTCCCCGTACTGGGATGATATCTCTGACTCAGGTAGGTCTGGAAGGACCAGGCCCTGTGGCTCAGAATGAGCCTCAGGCTGCTATGAAAAATGTACATGCCATGATCTGGGTGTAAGCAGCAAACATTTATTTCTCACAGTTCTGGAGGCTGGAAGTGCACGCTCAGAGCCACCAGCACATCTGGTACCTAGGAAGGGTCCACCTTCTCTTTCTTGGATGGTTGTCTTCTTGCTGAGTCCTTACGTAGTGGGTGACAGAATGGAGCTCTCTGGGGTCTCTTTTATGAGGATTCTGTTCTCCTTCCAAAGAGCTCTGCCCTCACAACCTAATCACTTCCTAGTGATGCCATCTTGGAATTTAGGATTCCATCATATGAATCATGGAGTCAGAAATACCAGTTTGTGGCTTCTGAGGAAGCTTCACGAGCTTGGCTTGGGGACAGGCTTGGGATGTCTGACCTGAGCCCAGCCACGTCTCCTGGCCACGTCGCTTATCCACATCTCCTGGCTATACCCCAGTTTGGGTACTTGGGGAGTGAAACATGATTAGCTAACCTATACAGAGCACCTGCCATGTGCCGTCCTAGAGACCGGTCCGTGTGCTAACTTGGTCCTCAGGACAGCCTGTTAAATGAGTGTTACTGTTACTCCCGTTTGACACACAGAGAAGCCAGGGTTGAATAACTGGACTGGAGCCACTCAATATGTGGCAGAGCTGGGATTTGAACCCCAGTTCCAGCTCTCAGTCCTCGTAGCCATGGTGCCACTCTTGAGATGTCCCCAAGGGAGCTTATCACCCTTCTGAGGGGAGAAGGAGCTGCCCCAAGGCTGGGGGAAAGGGGCACAGTGTCTCTGGGCCTGTGTTTCCTCAGTAAGAAAATACCAGTCCATTGAGAGTAGTTAACAGGATGAGGTGAAATTGCAAATGGCACCTTGCCTCCCTTCTCTGAGGAGCTGTTGCAAGGCCATATTTTATTATCTATGTCATTTCCTCCTCACCAGAAACACCCTGCTGCCCAGCCCCAGCCTGGAATATATTCTGCATGACTTATGGAAAGGAACTCCAGGAAAATGCTGTACTTCTGGGCTCAGAAGGGTCCAGCTTTCCCATAGAAGCCCAGTTCTGTGGGGAGTGGGCTGAAATGTGACATATTTTCAGCTAGGACAGGATGTTACGTTCTGTGACCCTGTCCTTTATGTTCCTAATATCCTGCTTCTGGTCTACCATGTCCCCCACCAAACACTCTGTATCCCCCCAGGTGGCATCTGCAGCACTGCAGGTCCCAGTCCCTGTCCTCCCTGATACAGCAGAATGGGGAGCTTGTCCCATCATTTTAGTGGTGTAGATACTGCTGAAGACACATTGCATTTCAAGCCGCCAAGTAATTCTTCCCCTTGTGCCTTTTTGAACAGCAAAAGACTTTATACGGAATCTGATGGAGAAAGACCCAAATAAAAGATACACCTGTGAACAAGCAGCTCGGCACCCGTGGTAAGAAGTCACCCCTGGGAGCACTGTGTCATCGTGTGCCCCTGTGCACTTCCTATTGGCTCTTGTCACCTACGAAACCTGCCCAGGTGTTAGTTTCATCTCCTGTTGTCTGGGGATTTTCTTCTCTCCGCAGCCAACCCTGGAACCGCCTTGTCCCTAGCATATACTCTTCCAATGGTACTCCTGGGACAGTTATTGTGTAGAGTTTCAGTTAGCAGAAAGCTTTTAAGGATCAGATTTATTGAAGGTAATCTCCCAGTGAGACATTAAAATTAGAGTTTCATTCCCTGAATGTATTACTCAGCACTTAAATAAAGTTATGTATATTTTCTCTTTTTAGATGTTTTTCCATTTAGTTTTTCTCAAACTCTGTGTGCCTAGAGCCACCTCAGATTTATGTCACCAAACTTCCTAGTAACTAGCTGTGACATTGTATTTATACCTTGCTTTTCTGAGTCTCAATTCTCTAATCATTGAATGAGAACAACCATACCTAATTCAAAGAGTGAATTAAGAAATAATAGAGATAATAATGGTAAAGACCCAGTGTGCTAGGAATTATAACAAAATACCTGAGATAATCAGTTTTCAAACAGGGAAGGTTTTCAGTCAAGGGTCAGCTGACCCTGTGGATTTGGACCTGTGGCAAGGCAGCTCATCATGGCAGGGAGTGTGTGGCCGAGCAGCCTCTCTGTATGGTGAGAAGGAGGTGGAAGAAAAAGAAACTGATATCCCATAGTCCCATTTGAAGACTCCCAACACCTCCCTGAGGCCCCTCCCCTTAAAGTTTCTATGACCTTCCGATAGCTCCAAGCTGGGGACTAACACAGGGGCTCCTAGGAGAGGTTAAGATCCAAACTGTAGCACACAAAGTAATGAAAATAGGGAACCAGGGTTATAACTGGGTAGGATAGTGCCTGTATAGCGTTATAAGGCTCTGCATTCAATCTGCAGTGCTGAGAAGGGAGAGGGGGAAGAGAAAAGGAGTTCAGGAGGAAGTAGCCCTAAGGAGCGTTGTAAGCCCTGTTCAGCCAACTGTCTCCATAGACCTTCCTCCAGGCTCTCCAGCGCCATGAGCCTTCACAGGAACCTGCCCAGAGGCTGCATCACAGTATTTTAATTCATGGCACCTGCTGTGTGTTGAGACTGTTATGTTTTGGGAACTGTTTGCTATAAAGTGTTGACTCCTGTTTTTGTTTAAAATAACTCCGTGGGATAGACTTTACCCTCATTGCAGACAACTGAAGTAATTTAGCTAACACTATGCAACTGGCTAATGGAAAAGCCAAGGTTCCTGCCAGAACTGTCTCATTCCACAGCGGCGCTCTTGTTCGCCATGCTTACAGGAAAAGAAAAGGGAGAGAAAGAAAAGGGGAGCAGGAGGGATTTTCTGAACAGGCAGTTTTGATTGCGTATAATCTTGGTATTGTTTAATGAGTCACTTTGGACAGCAGGTCCCACTGTGTGATGGCGAGATGGTAAAAGTTTTCTTACTTCATACCCACAGTCTTTAAACCTTCTAAATGTTCAGTATTCTAGAGGAGGAAAAGACCTCAGAAGAGCAGTGATTTGCCTTCTAGTGTTGATTCAGTGATCCCACTCTGCAGGGTGGGGAGAAGGACAGTGAAATCCTGGTCTCCGACTGTTTTTGAAAATCTAAACCATAGTTGCTGGCCTGGGAGAGGAGCAGGATGGCCCTGCAGAGTGTGATGCCTGGGAAGGGGACTCACAGTGGTCAGCAGCAGGGAGAGAGCTCTGCGAGGACAGGCAGATGGGCTGACAATTGCACATCTGTCCACAAGGCTGCAAGTACTTGCTGTTCTGGAGGAAGAGTAGATGGCAGGGACCAGCAGGAGAGGAGAGAGAAGGGAGGGGACAGAAGGGGAGGGGAAAGGCAGGCAGGGACTAACAGGGTACCGTGTGTCTTTCTCTTATTACCTCCGTGGGGAAACTCGTCAGTACTTTGGGCTTCCTCTGCAGAATCCAGATCGTAAATAACATAGCACATCTTTTGGAGGGCTTTCAAGTGGTTCAGTGAGATAGTTTATGCAATAAAGAAGAAACTCTGCCTCCCAGTGCATCTCTATTATGTATGGATTGCTGTTATTTTATTTTATCCTGAGGAATTTGTACTCTGGGTAGCAGGACTCTGCTGGGCAGTAAGCAGGAGATCAGAGGTGATTTTAGAAAGCCCGTCTGGCTTCAGGGTCAAGGATAGGTGGTAGGAGAGGGGGAATGGGAGAAGGGCAGGATGAGGCAGCCAGAGAAAGAACCCACTAGGGGACATGAAGGATGCAGAAGCTCTAGGCACTGGGCGGAGCACTGGTGGGGTGGGCTGAGAGTATTTCCAGGTTTCCAGTTTAAGGGCTGGGAGGCTGATGTGGGAAAAGAAGCAGGCTTGGGTGCAGAGATGAGTTCACCTTGGGTGTGCTGAGAGCCCTCTAGGTGCAGATTGATAGTACGCACAGCACTGGAAATGTGGAGCTTGGGAGAAAAGTCAGGCGGGGACAGCAGTGTCAGAGTCACCAGCTTGGGTCTCATGCGTGGCAGGAGGTATTAGCCTGCATCAGCAAATGCCCCCTAATTCTAAGGGGTTCCCCCTGTGCTCTGTCACTGTTATGGTATACTTCGAGACTCCCAGGAGGACAGATTGAAAAGTGGTAACCACAAATCCATTTGATGTAGACATCACTGTGAGCCCCCACTTACCTGCACTGAAGACAGGGGGATAGAGGTACATGTGGCTGCAGCTGGGAGCTGCAGATAGTAGAGGAAAGACCCCAGCAGGACATAGGCTACTCAGGACCACTGCTTGAGAAGCTGTGGCCCTGAACGTTCATGACACTAGAGAATCTTCCCACTTCACCCAAGCCATTCAGGGTGAGGAGAGACCTCAGAATTGCAAACTCCATCCCCTTGCATCGGGACAGGACACTCCAGACGAGAGGCCCTTGTCCAGGCATTCCTGTGACAGACAGCAAGTACTGCTTACCAGATCCTCCTGTCCCTCTCCCTGGGGATGCCTTCCACTTGGTAGTGGCTTGTGAGGAATCAGCAGGCTGCCAAAGCATGGCCAGAGAGAAGGGGAGGGCATGCAGCAGGGTAGGAACACATCCCATCACAACAAGGCCCCTATCGCTACTTGTTTATCCCAGTCTGATTGGTCTGTGCATGCATCTTGGTTTCATTGATAAGAAAACCAAAGTAAAGAACATGATAGAGATTATTTTTGAAAACTGGAAGTACTAGCTCCGCTCACTGTGCTGGGAAAGAGCTGGATTGCAACTGAGTCTGAAGGCAGGCGAGAGGCAGAATTCCGTCCTCTTCTTTCTCCCTAAGGCCTTTAATTGACCAGATAGGGTCCACTCATGTAACTTGCATTGCTCCTATCTACTGATTGAAATGTTAATGTTATCTAAAAACACTTTCACGGCAACATCCATACTAGCATTTGGCCAAATGTTTGAGTGCTGTGTCCTAGCCCAGTTAACCATCTGCTCCTGAGCTCCAGAGGGTTGCCTGGGACTTTCTCCCTGCTGCCAGAATGGCTGCCATGGGAGCTTTGGTTGGCTCTGGGAACTGAGATGCAGCCCAAGAATCTGGTAAAGCATTCCTGGAATTCATGCTAAGCATCACCAAGCAAGAGGCTAGAACCAGAGCCGTGGAGATAGAGTAGACCTCATGCAAAATATTAAGGGAAGCTGAGTCAGGAGGATCCCCAGTTTGGGCCCAGCCTGGACAATTTAGCAACTTGGTAAGACCTTATCTCAAAGTATAAAAAGTGAATAAAGAGTTAGTGATGTAACTCCATGCTAAGACCTTGGACTCAATCCCCCTTACCACAAAAGTAAAACAAAACAAAGAAACCTGTCAAGGAGAGAGATCTTTGATGATCTCTGAGTGGAGAAAGACAGCAAGACAAGCTGCAAAAGCTGTGTTTATGTAAATACCATCTGCATAGTTAAAGTAGGGTTGGACTCAGCAGACAGATGTCAATGAAATGTGTTTGCCTATAGATTTATAAATCTGTCTGTTTACAGATTCTTAAAGTTTTCTGTGTCATTGGTGTTGAGGCCCCCCAGCTCCAATTTTTTTGCTGAACACTGCTCAAGCTAGAGCTACCAGCGCTGTTGCTGGAAACTTCCTGGCAGCAGCTATTTTTATCATGGCGCCCAGGGGAGGAGGATTGTATCCTTTCATTGTGACCCAAGGTGGTAGTACCCCTCAGGCTACATGACAGGGATCCCAAGGGCCACCTGCTGCCCAGTGTGACTCTGATCCAGTGGCAGCCAGCCAGGGACTATGGGAGAGAGCAGGAGACATTCCTCACAAAGCTCAGAGTTGCATTTTCCATACTGCCGAGCCCACCATAGCCCACAGCAGAGGCACGGGGAGGAGAAGCCAGGCACCCGGCTCAGACTCAAGGTGCCGGAGACCACACTGCTGACAGGCAGGTACCGCACGAATCCCAGAGTCCCTGACACCGCCTCCCCAGCCTGTTTGGTTTGGAGCCTGCCTCTAGCAGTGCTTGGCCTGAGGAATTCCATACTTTCTACCACGTGGCCCAGTTATTTCCAAGAACGAGCTGGCCACTGGCACATGGGAACTGGCACCCTTCCCTGACTGTGCAGCTTTTAAAAATGGTCCAGGAGGAAGCACTCCCTTGGGCTCTGGGAGAAAAAGTTTGATAAAGATGCCCACAGTTCCCCAGACCTCTTCGTTCCTCTACTTCAGATTTGCCCTTCAACTGTAATATTTCCATTTCCCTGATGTGTGTCTGGGGAGAGAGGATGATTGGCAGCTGTAAGAACTGGAAACTGGTTCATTTTGGTTACTTCAGAGCATCCTCTTGGCTGTTTGCAGCCCCGCTGGGATGAGAGAGACTCGAGTACCTTACAGGGGGAGGTTGCCCGTTGCTGGGAATAGCAGACAGGATTCTAAACATAGGCCAGCCTGGCACAGACTCACTGTCCAGACCCTGGACCATGCTTGCAATACTCAAGTGAAAGAAAAGCCATGTGGGGTGATCTCTTGCCTGAATAACCCCTGAGCCCGTTCCTTATATCGCCCGAAGCAATTTGAAGTCACAGCCTGTGACACCTGGCCTTGACCTGAGGTGTGTCCAGGCCAGTCGCGGTATAAGAGTTTCACAGTACTTTCCAGCCAGGAAGTGCGATCCATGACTTTGCAGCCTGCCCTACAATTTTTCCAAGATTGAATAAATCCTTTCTTAGGTACCAGATACTGATCTAGCATTGACTGGTTTTGTGTGAAGTGGGAGCAGGAAGATGGAAGGAAAAAAGGCCAGGGTAGACTGAGAGCAGAACGTGGCTCCCTGCAGGGCAGGTCACATGGCTGGACATAGGGAAAGAGCACTATGTGCGGAGATGGATGTGTGGGAGAGAAGGGTGGGCTGAACACAACCTCCAGAGATTCCTAAGATGAGAGCGTAAGCCAGAAAAAAGGGGGTGTCACGCAATCAAAGAAGAGAGGGAGGAGGGAGGAAGAGTAGGGTGACAGTGATGAGCACATCTGAGTTCGTCCCTGCTCAGGAACAAGCAATAACTACAACAGAGGTGGCCCAGGACCATCCAGGACCAGCTCACTGCAGAGTAGATGTGAAGTTCTGAAAACTGTCTTGGAAATGCAGACGTAGAAGACCAGGAAACAGGGCTGGACCGAGGCTGTAAATCTTCTCACAGGGCACCAAGAAAGGGCAGGCACAGGGCTTGTGGCATTGCGGGCAGAATGTCACTGCAGAGCCCAGCTCAGCTGGTGTGGAATAGAAGGAGCTGTGAGACCCCAGGTGTGAGACGTTGGTGCAGAGCTCCTGGGGCGGGCATAGAGTAGGGGTCTTGGGTACAAGGAAACCAGCAGCCAGGCCCCGAGCAGCCAGGGAGGAAGTAGGAGAGCACAGAGGTAGAGCACCAGGGCCTCAAGCTGGTGCTGAACAGGGAGGACTCATGAAGGAGCAGGAGGGAGATGAGGCAGGCAGTGGGGTACACCAGGACGGGGTGGGGCGATAGTCGGAGGGGTACGGAGTACAGAAGGGCTCAGTGAGATGGGGAGTAGCATGTGTGGATTTAGGGACAAGTTGGTCACCCTCTCACCAGCCTATTTTCCTGAAGACAAGAAGCAGCTTTCTGTACCCAGTGGCTCGGCACCAAAGAAATCTCTTTGCTTTTGTTTCAGGATCGCTGGTGACACCGCGCTCTGCAAAAACATCCACGAGTCTGTGAGCGCCCAGATCCGGAAGAATTTTGCAAAAAGCAAATGGAGAGTAAGTGCCGTGTTTACTGACTGTCCTGGGCCTTTACCCCTCTCCTGACACTCGCTCTGCTGCTGTGCGACCCTGTCTATTTCTAAAAGTTACTGTCTCCCAAGAGTGGAGAGAAACCCCCAGAACCTCAGTAATGTTGCTCATTTTAATTGAAAATGGTTAAGGCTTGGAATTCATGTCATGGTGTAAGAGGGATCAAGTGTGTCATTGAACATTTCCCCTCCGTGACCCAGAGACAGCCGTTACACCAGCTCTTCCCTTCCTTATTCCCTGATCACTGTGCCCCTTCAGCTCACTTTCCTGTGTTGGAGAGTTTTTTACAGTGAGAATGGAGAGGACAAAGAAAACAGAAAATCTGCATTTAAGTCATCAATATTTTCTGGTAAAAATTTGATAGAGTTAAACACAGCATTTCTGCGTTCGTCTATTAGAACCTAAACGCTATATTCTAATTAGCATAGAGCTAGCTGTCTTGCCATGAAAGCTTGTATAGAGACAAAATTAATTCCACTGACCTATTTTATTCATCAGAGATGCATTACTTAGGACAAAAGTACCATGTATAGGAATGTAAATACTATTCTAAAATCACATTTTACAACATTAAGCTTTATAATACATTTTATTCTAAAGGTCAGTTCTCTTAAATTATGGAGAGAATGTTTCATATTTGTTCTATAAGCTTATGGTGTCAGAAGAAAACTATTTTTAAATATCCAAAATACATTTTGATGGGAAGTGGGTTTGAACAAATTCACACACCTTGGGGAAGGAGCAGTGTAAGTTGTCTTCCTAAAGTATCCTGAGAAGAAGTTATAGTAGATGTTGTAAACGGGAAAGAAACTGCTCAGAGGGAAATTTTATTGTTTGATCAACCTTGCATGCCTGTATCTGGTGGCCTGAGCAGTTCCTTTCAGGATAACAATACGCAATATAGCGACCATTGTTAAATTCCTGTCATCTTGTTTTGAAATCCTATGTTGCTGTTGTTTTTTTGTTTGTTGTTGTCATCATTTTGCGTTTGTTCTTGTTTTTTAATTGTTTGCCTCTATTTTTTTTCTCTTTGAAAGAAAGAGGATCCTGAGAATGTTTGAAGACATGTACCATGCTTAGGGTACACAGAGAAATTACAAGAAGCCATCAGAGTGTTTTCTAAGTTGCTGGATATTTTGCCTGGCTCATTTCGTTTTCTTTCTCAACTTTCAGCAAGCGTTTAATGCCACGGCGGTGGTGAGGCACATGAGGAGGCTACATCTCGGCAGCAGCCTGGACAGCTCAAGTGCAAGTGTTTCAAGCAGCCTCAGTCTGGCCAGCCAAAAAGATTGTGCGTATGTAGCGAAACCTGAATTCTTGAGCAGGCCTCTGGGCTCACACTGGGTGGAGAGCAGGCAGGAATCTGGGCCGAGATTCTCCTGTGTGCCAGGCACTTCCAGTGCTGGCTCCCACTTCACACTCACAACCACCCCTTGGGCGGTTTTTAATATAGTCTTAGATATTCATGCACCCTGTTTAGCAATGAGACACCTGCGGCTTGGGTTTCACAGGGCCAGGCATGTGTGGATCTGGTCTGTCTCCTCCTCCTGAGGGCACAGAGCTGATGCTCTGTGGGTTGAGGAAGGAGGGCCGAGACTCCTGGCAGGCTGATCTCATGAAGTTATTTGCGAAGACCATTGCAGTGGGAATAATAGTCAGGTACTTTGTGGTCCTGCGTCTTTGCATGACTAGGACTTCCTTGAGGGCACACACAGGCTCTTCTCTCCTTCGCCTCCCTTTCTGCATGTGTCCTACCAGTGGCTCCTCCCTGGAGCAGTTACCTGAGTCCCCATGGGCCCTCCTGTCTGGCACTGAGCTGCTCTTTAGCTTGACCCACTGTGGGCATTATGCTCCTGCCCATCTGGCTCAGAAAAGGGCTTGCTTCTCTCTTAGCAGTTATCCTGGCTCATTCGGGACTGGCTGGTGTTTACATTTCCCAAGATGTTTCCATGCACGTCACACACCACTGTTGACCATATTTACTTGCCACCTGTATTCTTCCACCTCTGGTCAAGGGAAACCCCACATTGACACACACACTCTCTCTTTTTCTCTGTCTCTGTCTCACTCTCACTCTCATTCTGTTGTTTGCTTTTGGAGTTAGAAGAATTGAGCCCTTTTTATTTTGATAAGTTGTCCAGGCCAGAATTGAATTTATGATCCTCCTGCCTGAGCCTCCCAGGGGGCTAGAATTATAGGCATGTGCTACCACGCCTGTACCTCACTGAGTTTTAAAGTCATACACCAGTGAAGCCGTCCCAATAGTTGATTTTATAGATTCCCCTGTGTCCCAGTATACAGAGCTCTTGGTGCACATGTGCTATCAGAGGCAAATGGCTGCTTGTATGTCTTGCACTGTGGCCTTCTCAGGGTGACGCTTCTGTCCAGTGAGGCATTAGTGCAGCCCAAGAGGAATTCTTGTAGGTCAAGGGGCTGCTGAGTTCACACAGGACCAGGTGAATGACCTCATTTCAAGGTGTTCTGTGTCAGAAAATGCTTCTTGCTAGAAGTATAGATTACAAACTGCTCATCCTTAAAATACCTCCTTCCTGGAGCTGTTGCAAAAGTGAACAATTCTTACAAAGCTAGCCTGTATTGTATGCCTCCCCAGTACCTAGAACATAGTAAGTGCTCAATAAATAGGGCCTCCTGTATCACGGAGACTGAAACTTGTTTCCAAAGCAATTATACTGAAAAAAAGAGAGGCAAGCTGGGTCGAAGGACAAAGCATCTGAAACACATTGCAGAGGTTTTCCTGTGGGGAATGCGTATGTAGTCTGGAGTCACAGGTGGCAGATAGCTAGAGTGTGAGTTTAGTATGCACAGGACCCTTGGGTTTAATCCTGAGTGCCACCAAAACAAATAAATTCAAATACATAAGAGCTTGGTCCCCGAAACCTAGCCCATCTGGCCCCCACGTGGGAAGGGAGAGCACCGATTGGCTGCTGGAGCACTGAACCCCGTGTACCTCTGTCCCTCTGCAGGCCTGGCACCTTCCACGCTCTGTAGTTTCATTTCCTCTTCGTCGGGGGTCTCAGGAGTCGGAGCCGATCGGAGACCCAGGCCCACCACTGTGACGACAGTGCACACTGGAAGCAAGTGACCGGCTCTGGAGGTGGGACCCAGGGAGCGGGTCCAGGGAAGGGGAGCCCCGGGGCCACCCTGCTGGTGCCTCCATTGAGACCCTACCCCTGCCTGCATGGTGCACCTTTCTGCGTAGGACTGGAAGACAAGTTTTTTATGGCCATATTTTATACTGCAATTCTGAAGTGTTCATTTCTCACAAACTGTACTGAACTCGAGGGGAGCTGGATCAGTGGGGTCTGGTGCTGTAAATACGAATCTTGCAAAGCTCTAACTAAACGGACCGTCTTCTTCCTCCCCACCCCCCAGTTCTGTCATTTCTATTCTTTGCAGTGTAGACAGCCATCTAGGTTGTATTTTTTCATGGAAAAAAAAATGGTTTCAACTGGATTATTTAAGTATTGGTAAATATTGTGCACTATCAGTTTATCCCTTTGAAGTATGTCTTTGCTCTGTATCTCAGTTACATAACCTATATTGTTTGCTCTTCAATAGTTCTGTGTTAATCTTTAAGAGATTTTTTTTCTTCCAAGGAGAATTTAAAGATATTTTTAAAAATTCTAATAAGGAGATCAAGAATCTGTCTCCCAGGCTAAGAATGAACTTTATTTCCCTTTCTCTCCCCTTTATGGGAGGGTCAGCTCTGAATGAAGGTGTCCTGGCAGCTCTGGGGGGCTGTCTGCCCTCCAGCTTTGGGGAGCATATGCAGAACCCCCCACCATGGCTACTTCAGCAAGCCCCATGTCACCCACAGCAAGAGGAAGAAGCCTGCTCCTCGAGACCCATAGCCAGACTTCACAGCGAACCATGCTCTATGAATGCAAGACCCACAAAGGCAGGATTCAAGAGTGTCCCTTCCCCAAGGGACAGGCTGCCATTTGTGTAAGGTGACCCTGCATGCAGCCCTCCTTCTCATGAGGGATAACAGATGAAACTCTAATCTCAGCTATGCAGTTTTAAAATGAATCTCTTTCTGTTTTTCTAAAACACATTTCTAATCTTATATTTAAAATGACCTCCAAAATGCACACACACAACACGCAACCACGCACACACACACACATTTCTGTACATTTTTACCCAGCTTCAAAGAAGAAACTATTTTTCTGGGGTGATGCAAAGAGGTGACCGCCAAGCAGAACGCTGGTCACTGCAGAAACAGCCTCATAGAGGCCCTGCCGATGCACAAAGCCACTGTCATGGGGGATCAAAGCAAAGGCCTATGGTTTTAGGGTCACCAGTTACCCCAGTTATCTGGCACTGAAGGATTTCCCAGGATGTAGGTTGACTTCTATTGCTAAAACTGGGGCTGGCCCAGGAAAACCAGGCCACCACAGGAAAACCACGTGGAGGCTGGGTGTGCAGGACAGAGTGAGCACAGCGTGCGACCCCAAGCCAGCCTAGAGGGAGGCTGTCTCATGGAACCAGGCAGTGGAGCCCAGCGTTCCTCACACCATCCGGCATGCGTGGGCTCGGCTCCACAGCCTCTTACCCCACTGTGCTCCTGGGGTCCCTGCTGGTCCAGTGACTTCCTTGATTGCTGCCTCCATGCTGCAGTCCTGCAGATGACCAGGTGTGGAAGGTCCTCTTGGGCAAAACTTTGTTACTTCTATACTTTGCCTGTGTTTAGCAATGCCTCCTTGCCACACACACACACAGCGTTACCAGGCTCACAGCCCCGGCTGTCCTCCCTAAGGACACCGGTGTAGGAAGTATAAGGACAGCTAAAAATACAAGAGGTTGGTACCTGTTCCCATATGCCTCAGAGGCAGACTCCCGCTTGGCTTCTGTCACACAAGTACACGGGGTGAGAATTCAAGCTATCACTCTTTCAGACCTGCAAAAAGCCTGGAAACGTCTTATGAAATGACAACAGGCCCAGTTAAGAAGCAAGTGTCACCTGCATTGGAGACATCAGCCTCTTCCCTTAAGGTAGACAATGACTTAAGTGTTAGAAGCATATTTGAGAAAACTAAGGAGTCCGTCTAGGTTTATGAGTGTGTTGCTTATGAATTAGTGTCACGGACACATTCAGAGTCATACAGTATAAGGAAAAAATTAAATAAGAAGTTAAGGGGGTAATAATTAACTTGAGTATGGTACTTCTGGGGTGAACGTAAGTCATTATGAGGTTTTTGTGCTACATGTTATATGCAACCATTTGCAATTGGAAAACCATTAAGCCAAATTCTGCTACTGGTGATGAAAATATTGTCTGGAGCTGACTTGGGAGGTGTACATTATATTCAGTTCATTTGAAAGTGTCTTGGGCCTGAAAAGTGTGGCACAGGGAAGAGTGGTACCTCGCAGAGGCATCCACCATGCCCACTGGTTTCAGAATGAACAGAGAAAGGCTCCCTTCCAACAGCAGTGGGTGTTATTTATGTTTCATTATAAAACGGGAGAACACAGAGTGGACCTTTGCTTAAAACCTGATAAATGGAGGCTGAGTCCTGGGCCACTGGCTGACGCCAGATTCCACCAGCATTAGCTCAGCATCTCCTCCATGTGCTCAGTGTGTCTGGCTGAAGCCAAGGATGGCACCTGGCACCTCTTGGGGTTCTTCTCTTGCCCTTCTCCCCCTTGGTCTCTTCATCTTCTCAGTGCAAGTGGGTTTTTTGTTCTCATGGAGATAAAAGAGCAGGCTTTCCCTCTGCTGCCAGCCTGTTCCGCCCTGATCTTCAGTTCCTAAGTGAGACAGGAAGAACAGCTACTACTCATCTGAACCAACAGAGAGTGGCACCCACACTTAGGCCCCAGCAGGCCTGCCGCTTGTCATTCCTACCCAGGGGACCCTTTTGGCTGGGCTGTTCCTGCCTCACCATAGCCCTGCTTTCCAGAGCCACTGAGGTCTGGAGCCTCAGACAGGGAAAGGGCACAGGAGCTGGAGCGGGGAAAAACAGGGCATGTCTAGGTGGCAGGCACAGAGGAAAGAGAAGCCGCCATCCCCCAAAGCACCTGGCCCCCTTGGAGAATAGAGACGATAACCCACCCCCTTCAAATCTCCTCTTAAAAGGAAGAATTATGCAGCTAGCATGCAAAAAAAAAATGTAGGCATGGCTTAATGTTTTTGACTTTGATCCTTGTTTCTAAAATCTGGAGAATGGGGATCAACCCCTGGGACACGGGCTTGTGGCTTTGAGAGGGTCCCACTATCTAACTCATTCTTAGCATAGTATCCAGGGACCTGGGCATTTAGGGCTGGGGCTTCTTTCTGAAGCCACTGTGGCTGAACAGACAAAGGTTTGGCTTTTAGAAATCATTAGCTGTGCAATAAAAAGAATCAGTCCCAGACTCAGTTTACCCACCCAGCATTAACCTCATGCTGTGCATTTGTCCCCCTTAGCGTCCTGTGTGGCCTGGGTAGACTATCAGTGTGGGAGAGACTGCCCTTTGGAGCAAAGGCCAAGGAAAAGGGAACTTCATTGGTTCCCTGGTGAATCAGGATTGATTCCGTGGTGTAATGACACTTAGCATGAGTAACCCATTGGCTCTCACATTTTAGGAGCAGTTTTAAAGAGAAAGAAAAGACCATATCCCAGTGGAGCTAGACAAGGTGTTTTAGAGCTCTGGATGCCCAGATCCTGAGTTAGAAATGTTTTTCATTCTGGGGAAGCCACGGTGGAGCCACAGAGGCAGAGCCAAGGACAGGGGTCCCAGGCTAGGACCTGCTCCAGTCCACAGTATGCTCTCCGGGTAACCCCCATGCAGTGCTGATGGAGCTCCTTTGCAGCATGCAAAGAGGGCGAGGGCTGGCAAAGAGCAGTTCCTCCCATCTTCCATGGCAGAAGTCAGACAAATAAGTCTCCTAGGTCTGCAGAGTCCCGCGGGCAAGTGGCACGAAGGTTCTTCCTTTCTGCCAGTGCAGGAGCCCCTGCATGTCCCGCAGTCTTCTTCCTCCTGTTCCTCCACAGGGTTTGCCTTGTCCTGAAACACATTCCAGACCAAACACTGTTCAGTTTGTTTCCAAAAGAAAAAAACTATGTATATAAGTCTATGTCATCTACCACTGTTCTTAGGGGGTACCTGGTCCTATGCGGGGGCTGTAAGCGCATTTGACCTTTGTCCAAGGTGTTCCAATCCTTTCATGTTTCAGAACTGAAAGTGTAAGGTTAAAAAAGCTGATCTGGGAGAACAGATTGGTAAAACAGGGATTCACTTCCTGAGACCGCCAAGGGCATTCGCGTGCAGATGAGATAGCTTGAACACCCCTTGGGTGGCAGGAACATGTAAGGAAGAAGAGGAGCAGGAAGACAAAAGCCCATGTCCCCTCACAAGGTCCCTTCTTCGAGGTCCCAGTGCATCATGGTACGCGCACAGGAGCTGGCCCTGCTGCGAAGCCCACCATGCATGACGGCTATAGCCTGGCCTGCCTCCTGCTCCAGCAGTAGCCACACCTCCAGAATCTTCCCAAAAGACTTCCCCCTTTCCAGATGTCCCTGCCACCCGCAGTGGGAGCAGCTAACCTTGTGGCTTTGGGAGCTTTGCTTCCGCAAACCTAATGGCTGTGCATTTGGAAGCCGAACACCTAGCATGTGACCGCCAAGTCTGGTTTTGTGGACAAAGCAAACTATGGAATGGCTTTTCGGTGTCCGTATCTTTCTACACCAAAGGGACAAACTGTGGCATTCGCCCTTTGTACTAAGGCTGCTTCTGCATTCATCTGTTTTTAACCTTTTTGTCTCCAGGGAATTTCTTATGTGATCATTATGTCATCTGATGATTTGCTGTGTTATTTTATGTATAGGTGATTTGATTTTCCTATGAGCAGGAAAAAGAAAATGAGAGAAAGATTTGAGGCTTTAGTCATAGAGACAGCACTAGGGATGCAAAACCCTCAAGTGCTACCTAAGCTGCTGCTTAAGAGAAAATCTTATTGTGAACAGACTAGGATTCCTAGCCCTCCACAAAGCCTATTTTGGGTGAAAGGGCCTTGGGGAAGAGTTGGCAGCCAGGCTGTGACAAGGAAGGAGAGGAGCAGTTCTGATGTTTGTCCTGCAGCACTGAAGCCTGCTAGTCTCTTTGTGGGACACCTGGCTGTTTGGGGGTAATGTGAGATACTATCCAAATGTCAGTAGTGCCGGGGGTTTAGCCCAGTGACACAGCACCTCCCTGGCAAGTGCAAGGTCCTGAGTGTGATTCCAGGTACCAAAACAAATGTCAACAGAAAAGCTGCAAGATTGCAGTAGCATCTTCATCTAGAATGACAGGGTGGTACATTTCAGAGAACATTTACCTTGGTCCCGCACTCAAGGAAAAAGACATCAAAGGTACATTCTGCCCAGAATCAACATTGGAACATTTTCCAAATTAGCTTTTGTAGCTATACATAATCTTCCCCTTGTTTTGACAACACCCCCCTACAGTAAGCATGTTTTCCAGACGCTTACAATGTCGAATCCAGGAACCGTCCCCATGTCTACTATTAACAGGCTTGCAATTGGTTCAGTTTTTCCATTACAAAAAAAATGCTTGTCCAAAAGAAGAGAAACTGCATTTATCCCATGCATGTAATAAACTGCAAGAAGTTTAACCCCCATAGGTTTGCAGCACTGCAAAATTGTTCATGGGTCTATGTCGCAAATGATTCTCTGCCTTGACAATCATGTAAACATATCGAAGTTTCTATCATAATGGCAAGATTGATGAATTCTTGTTTTCCTCCAATAAAGACAGTTAATCACCTTCAGCTATGAGTGGGCTTTTTCTTTTGTAATGAGCAAGATATGGTGTCATATCGTGTTAAGTGTTTCCTGAAGGAAAATAGGACATCTTCAATCCCTTACTTGCTGGATTATTCTGATCTTAGCAGACAGACAGACAGATTAATTCTATATCCTTTATCTGGCCCGGTTTAAGAAAGACTTAGCAAGAGAAACTGTACCTAGTTGCATTTTCTTCATTGCAAAACCTATGTTAAATCCCCCAAAGAGCACCCCAGTTAGTCTCTTTGTAACGTCATATGTATGTATGTATGTGTTTGTGCATGCATGCACCATGCCAGGGAATTCAAATGACAAGCAGTAGGGACTGATTTCCAGGCTGTGCCCTGCCTGCCACCCGTGCACCCTAGCTCAGAGACAAGACGCTTAAGGCACCATTTGGGAGCTGCTGGCTTGGATGGGCCCTGAAGACCGTGGAGCATTAGGCTGTGGGTCCACAGGGACTTTTACCACTTTTACAAGGCTTTCTCTAAAAGCACTAGCTGGGAACTCAGAATCAAAGCCCAGGTTCCAGAGGGGTTCATCTGGCCACTTTTGTTTTGGGATGTGAGAGATAAGGGACACATTAGCTTTCAGGAGGCTGTCACCAAGGGGCTGGTACATAGAAAGGCACTTTCTAGATCTCCTGAGGTCTTACTCTGTTCAAACATGGTTGCCCTGCCTTGTCTTACTCACTGATGGGAAAGCCAAGGGCCTGGCCATTCATTCGGACTATTGGCAGCCATGAAATTAGACCCAGGTGCCCTCAAAGCCTGCAATCCCCCTCTCATCTCTTTCCCCTCCTGGGTCCCACTGGTGCCTTTTGTTAAACCCATTCATGAGTTTCATGCCTTTGTTCATGTATGTATCCAACACTTTGAGCATCAGCTGTATTCAAGGATTTTCACTGACAGTGAGAAAAACTGAGTAAATCCAACCAGAATCCTCCCCTGCAGGCAAAAAAGAGGGAACACGTAAGCCTGGGAGGAAGGGCAGAGTTTGGGCAGGAAGGATTTAGCAGGAAAACGTGAGCAAGGGTGTGGAGGCTGGGAATAGTCTGCCGACAGACGAGTGCATATTTCTTCAGATGAGCGCATGGGATGCAGCCAAATTGTGGAGAGGGAGGTGGGCTGGGGAGGCTAGTGTCTAACAATAGCTACTTTGACCATTGTGCCTTACCGGCCACTTACAAGCTGAGTGCATCCCATTCGGGGGTCACATTTTGTCATCGGCCTCACCAAGAAAGGGGCTCAGAGCATCCAAGTGAGTCAGTGTGGTTCAGTGATTCACCCGGGGTCATATGTGAGGACTAGTGGTTTCCAACTCAGCTCCCACTGACCCAACAACCTTCTTGCTGTCCTGCCTCTCATGATGTGGCACAGTCACGGAACTCCAAACTTTGACATTTGCACTTTATGTACCAAGTAACTGACAGCCACTGAAAATTATTGAAAGGTGACTTGATCAAGTCAGTTAAGATTGTGGAGCATCTCCACTGCTGGAATCCATTGCATACCTCCAAGAGAAACGCATTTTTGTGCCACTGCTCCGCCTGGCCTACCTAATCTATATGGACCTGTGGTGAGAATGGAATATCTCTGTGTACCCACCCATAAGTTCTGTGCTATTCTGTTATTCAGTTTTCTTGGAGGAATATCACAGATGCTGGATTTAATCTAAAATCCGAGGTGCACACAAAGATACTAATCCTGTTGAACTTTCTTTTTGCATTCTTTAAAGTTATTCTATTCTGTCCCAAATAGTAACTCTGAAAAGTTCTGTCTACGCACATGGAGTTTCATCTCTGACACGCAGGCTGCCCAGGCATCTGCTTTTCACCTCCATTCTGTCCTCAAATGTACTGGTTTATTTTTTTTTTTTAAGAGGAAAAAGAGAAAAACACAAAACAAAACAAAGCAGTGTAAGGTTACACATAATACAGAACTACAAAAAAAACATAACAGTAAGAAATCACCTGTTAATAGATTACATATTATCATCTTGGAAATAGTTGCTCAAATCACAGTATCAAAGAATACAAAGTAGACATTCAAACAGAGAGACTGCAAACAGCTGTGTTCGATGATCCAAAAACATTAATATAGTCAGCTATTTAACACCCCTAAACACACTTGCTGTTATATCCGTTAGAGCTCTTTTTTTTTTTTTTCCTACCTCTCTTTTTTACAACAAAATTTACACATTTTGGATTTTATTACTCCTTAGTTCTTATTACTTTTTGGGGGGGGGGAGAATAAAGTCAAATATGGCAAAACAAAGCTGTAAGTCAAAACCAAGGCTAGACATAGCACATGATGTAGAACAGAGTACAAGGTTATTAACAATGGTTATCAACGTCTCTTGTTTCCTTAAAAGGAATTGTCTATCTCATTAGATATTATAAAGTTGGACAAAACAGTAGAGAACAAGACCAATAAAACTTAGGCATTGTGAACATTACAGGACTTCCAAAGGAGACAATAGTCAAACCAGAATGGGCATCTTTGTGAATCTTATTGCCTTCAAATTAGTTGCCTATACCCTCAGACTTGCTACTATCGCACAGAATGGAACAGAGTCTAATCAGTCAAAACAAGATCGTGGGAGTATTACAGGACTTCAAAACAAGTTAATAGGAGATCGAAAAGAGTTACTATTATATATCCTAATTTTGCAGTATCTTTTATCGTTAATTTCTAATTTCAGAGCGCTGTGATCCGATAACATGCAAGGGATGATTTCAGCTCTTTTGCACTTGTTTAAATATGTTCTGTGAGCTACAGGTTTATTTTTAAGAAAAGGTCTCAGGTCTCCTGAGAGCTCCTGGCTGTCCCTGAGAGGAACCGGATTTAGCATGAGCTCACCTTCCTAATATGGATGCACAGGGAAAGCCAGTTCTTGGTGGACGGGCGGGTTCTTCTCTCTCTAGCCCCAGCTTTGTCTCCTGCTTCCTCTCCATGGTGTGTCTTCTGCCTCAGCATTAGATTTGTTTCTTCGGCACATGGAGTCTAAATTTTTCTGTCCCTTTCTGGGTCAGGCTGACAGTCACACTTCAGCTCCTGCGCCATCAGCCCAGGCTGACTACTCACAGGGAAGAGTTCAGTGTGGAGCCCTCTAATGAGGACCAGCTGTCCCCCCCAGCACAGGCCTGGGAAGACACTGGCTTCTGCACTTGCCTAGCAAGGGGCTCTTCACATGGGCAGACGTGAAAGCTCACCCCCAAATTGACCAAAGCTTAGGGCTCGGCCCCTGGGAAGATGGCCCACCTCCTGGGCTGTGTCTCACACCTCTCCTAAGCTCCCCTCAAATGTGGATTCCTATTCAGCAGCTGCACTTCTGACTCTCAGGGGCCTGGCTCCTGGTCCTGGGCCACACTTTGAGTAGCAGCAAAGGGTCTAGTATGCAAGTCTCTTCCTGTGCTGCTCCTCCCTGACTGAATCACAGTGGGAGCAGTTAGAAAACACCAAGCCCCTCAATTCAGTCATCTCTGGTGATTGTTAGCTGCAGCCAGGGTGGGACCACACAGCAGTTAGGAGTCACCATGCCTTCCTGAGTTGAGAGATGGGTGTGACAAAAGATCGCTAAAGTACCTTTCACTTACTTCCTTTTTTCCAGTGCTGGGGATTGAGCATAGGACCTTCATCCGAAACAACATCTCAGCCCTTTTGATTTTTCAGTTTTCAGACGGGGGTCTTACTATGTCAGCCTCTCGAGTCTGGCTCTTTGGCAGGAAAATCATGTTGCCAGGTCAAGTGTACTGTTTGCTTCCTGAACAACATGCAAAAAAAAAGAGTCTCCATTGAAACTGAATTGCGGTATTTTTCAGATTTGGATCCTAGCCCAGAGCAGGGAGGAACATGAGGTAAAGTGGTTCCATGATTGAAATGTATATTTCCTGCTGCTTCTTTCCAACTCTGATGTTAGATGAACAAGCTCAGATGTTACCAAGTATGACTCAGGCTCAGAAAATGTTGGTGACAGGTCACTGGTTCTGGCAAGACGAGGACTTTTCCAGTTGTTGACAAAAGCCAGCAAGAACCATTAATTCCATTCACCAAACTCTAAAAAGTTTTAATTGTGCATCTTGGTGGGAAAATAATTTCAAGCGGGCTGGTAATTCAGCTTAGCAGTATAAGCACTTGTCTGGAAAGCACAGGGTCATGAGTTAAATTCCCGGTACCAAAAAAATATATATATTTTTGAGCATACTTCTAATTTATGAATATTTACATATTTGGAAATTATAGACATCTAGTACTATACATACTTATGTAAATACATATGAAATATTTACAAAGGAAGAAAATTAGAACAAGGTAAAAAATATTCTTCCATACAGTTTTTTTCTTTGTTACATAATGTAATGACACATTTTTATTATGATTTAAGAGTTTGTGATACAGCAAATTGAAAGTCTTATCTCAAGTTTACCTAAATTATTTAAGTGCTGTAACCTTGAAAAAGCTATGAGATAAAAATACTTAGATCTACATGGAAGAAGTCTATAGTCAGGGGTGCCCACCGTTAGGGTCATGACCACATGCGTGCTGGAGACTTACAAGACTGAAAATAGAACATTATAGGCAGTTTCTTTTTTCTTAGCTCCTCCTTTATCCTTCCTGCCCCTGGTCTTTGTACCCCTCTAAACCATGCTACATGAACATTACAACCACAACCTAGGCACAGTTCACTCAAAGACCTTACTTCTCTGAAAAATAAGAGGATAATGTCAAGGTTAGTGTTTATACTTAACTCTCCACAAAGACTTAAATCTTTTGAAAACATGACTGAATGATTAAGGTACTCTAGAAACCCCCAGACCACTCCAGAAACCCTCAGAAGTCTCAAGCTCCTGAAAATAGGACACCTTTTCATGGAATTCAGTGTACGAACTAAGAAAAGATAGTTCAAAAAGCTCTTAAAATGAATTAATATTTTATTAGTCAAAGTGCCATGTATATCTTTGCAACATTTGATGAGTGGAAGT